AATAGGTACCACTTCACGAGTTTGCTTCTGCTTGCGAATATCAGGCATGAAGGGCTACTAAGTGGGCTGATTAATTCCTACTAGCCTGCGAGACTGCACGTACGAGCAATTGTATGGAACTTCGCTTATACCTAAAGAGTACGTGTCTCATATGCGAGCATCGTATGTTGGGTTCGGCAAGCCTTTTCTACCTACGTATTGGGTCTTAACTTAAGAGTTTGAAAATGTGGGCTCTAAAACGTATCTTCGATGTAAATGGCCGTAAAGACACGGTCCCTCGTCGCGATCAAAATGTTCCCGCCAGCGTAGTCGAATGAAACTGCCTCACAAATATATATATATTGAATAATCGAGAAAAATTTTTACCACTTCGTTGTTTAATTGTCCATGGCGTTGTCAACAAAGACAGATGTTGTCTCCTTACTGGAAGACCTGAAGTCGCAGTGGAAACAGCAAGACTATAGAGATTTCCATCAAACCTCCCTAGTGTTTCACGCAGCAGGCCGAATGGGTGAGGCAAAAACGTCTCGCAGATACCTGATCACCCTACAAGCATCTGCTTGAATATTAACTTCTTATTAAGCGACGATACGCAAATCTTGGGTCTAATACTATTGCCACTGGAAACAAATGTTAACTCGGGCTGAGATTATGAGACTATGACATTTTTTTATTCCAGATCGCTTTTTAACTGTGAGTTGTCCATGTTGTTTTTTTTTCCTTTATAAAGGCCCCTACCGGTAGGACATCTAACTCAACTCAGTAGTAGCAAGAGTTTTTCTTAGTTCTCCTTTAGTCTATCTTAAGTAGGAATTGAGTGATGATAATCACTTGTTCACTCAAGGGGTCAAGCGCTCGGATAAACCGGCCGGGTCGAGCAACCTTGTTTTGACCCCTCTCCTCGCTTCCAGTCAACCGAAGGGTACGACGCGGGCCACGTGGCAAGCAGTTTGCTCGGACAGATCAGGTCCGTTCTGTGGCGGTGAATAGATGGACTCACATCCTGCTTCTTGCTTCTCAAGCCAGGCTCTCCGAGGGGATTCGTGGCCCTACAGCTATCTTGGCGGCTGCCAGCCATCCGTTGCCTTCTCAGTGATAAGCTAATGATTCGCCTTCTGTGTCAAGTACGAACTTGAAGCTTGTTAGCGCCAAACTTCGTTACCTCGCTGACCAAGCAGTGACGACGACGACGACGGCGACGAAAACTGAAAAAGGTACCAGTAGAGTTGGGGGTGAAGAGAGATTCAGGGGCACCCAGCGAGAGCTGGTGTCTATTAGCGAGCGGCGGCTGAAAAGCTTGAGAGGCTGGAGCACGATGCAATGGGTAAGAAAACGTTGTTTTGCCCTGCGACCGCATGCCATCTTGCAGTAACTTGCTGGCCGGTACATATGTTCCCCAATTGCGACTGACCAGGGCTGTTCGACCGAATCAATCTGCCTTGAGAAGCAGTCTGGCTAGCTGGATCTGCCGAAGCCAGCAACTGTGTCAGTAACAGCAGTCTTACTCATGATGTACTTCTACACTGTTGCATCGGGAGTCAAGCAACTTCGAACTAGATAGCTCCTTGGCCGTGCGCATCAAAGCTCTATCATTCGCTCCTAAATGTCGGCGGTCGCCACTCTTCCAGTAGCAGTGTAAGGGTTCTTCTAAGTCAGCCAGTCACTTCAATTTCCGCTTTAGCTGCTCTTCCATGATGTGCCTGCTCGCCGTCTCATAATAAGTGGATTGAAGCGAAGTGAACCCTAGACAACTTCATCCTGTCGGGTTCTCTCGATCATAAAAGTTACTGAAGCACAAGTCGTGCACAAGATGGATGAAATTTAAGCCAGCCACAAGTGGAGGCAAATAAAGTAAGGCCGTTGGCGAACGGCTTGACCCGAGCGCGCGCGCAAATCTTCACCCGACAAAACATGTACATAGCCCACGACGTTGTCGTTCCACCTCACCAAAGATCATCATTAATTTAGCTATAATGCATGCCTCATTCTGTATGGAAATTAGTATAGGTTAGTATGACTATAGTTTGTTTTTTCTTAGTGTGGCTAGTTCTTTATTCATTTATAGGATAGGTTAATCTACTCAATTTGATTGACTGAGTTAATGGCGTTTGTGTGTATGATATATGCAGGCAATATCATTTCCGTTTTGATAAATAAATATGTATAAGATAAATAAAATGAAAGTTTTATGCTGAACATTTCATGTTATTCTCGTCTTTGGCGATACAAGAAAGTTATGCAGCGCAGTTTGTACTACAGAGCGTGGTACGCACCACGGCACCGGTAGCCAGCCGTCCCTCTTTTAAGGGCCGTGAATAACGTGGCGGTGCTTAGTTATCGTTATCGCATAGGCAGAATGGCGACAATCATTGGGGTCCTGTACTGAATAGTCGCTGCAAAAAATAAGTAATATGAGAGTTGAAAAGTTTTATCGAGTTTACGACATATCATAGTTTATATTATGGGAGGTGGAATTACGGTCATATCAAAGCCAGCTATTATACAAAAACATTGAGGTGGGACACGATTACGCCATTGTTAATCTATAAATTTATATGCTAAGTCGTAAAGGATGGGTCGCCTAAACTCGGAGTCTTTCTCTTACTATGTGTATTAGGTTGTATCTAAATAGAAAAGGTCCTTGAACGAACTATTTGTGTGCAAAAAGTGTCACTCCTAAGTTATGTTTATTTTAGTATAGTTACCCCTCACTGCGATCATAGCTTCAATACGGGACCTGAACAGCTCCCAGGTATATTGTTAGGTTCATTTTGCAATTCGGCGAACGTTTTTTTTTGATAGGACAGATGAGCGCTGTCGTGTCGAGGCTCGTTAACTAACCCTCGCTCAATAACGCTCCATACGTAGAAACCCAACGAATTCAAATCTCAGCTATACAGTGACCATAAATGCTCGTACCAGAACAGACCCAAATTCTCAAGCGACTCGTCCTGCGCTAACTGGTCGGTGATAGGTCACCTTTATCACCACATGCCAGGAACATGATCATTGGCCAGAAAATTATTTTTACCCGCAATATATACATTCATTGAATCGTATTCAACTCAGCCACCATTTCTACCACCAGGTTGATTTTTGTATTGATGATGAAAAAAATTTTCCATTTGAGAAGAACTGAGAACAACCTGCTACTTCATTTCCAAGTGATGTAAAGGGCAACAAATACCAGTCAAATTTCCTGATTTTAGCGTCTCTACAAATTCGGTGTATGTTTTATTATGACATATGGCGTGCTTCTACAGCCTTAATAAACAGTCTGTGATATGGCATTCCTCCTCCGACGAAATTCTTTCGCTAACGACCTCAGAGAAACATAACGATCATTAAAAATTTATTCTTGAATTGCGTCAATTACTTCTTGAGCCCACGCTGTTTCTTCTTTACCGTGGAGATTTCCTTGTGCAAAGCTGGAACCTGCTTGGACTTGTTTTGCGACCAGGTGCGGGTTTGTAGCAAACTAGGTACGATCTGAGGTAACCCAGAAATTTTAACCCCCAATGGGTTTCGTCCAGCGTAAAGAGTATGTGCTATTCACTCGAATTGCAGAAATGACGCACCGTCTTTCAATGACGTGATTGTGGTTTTGTTCTAGAAAAAAACGGCCATTTTTTCATGTATCAGCAAGAATGGGTCCGGTCTTCTATTTCTTCAATGGCTATTTCTTCAATGATAAATACGTTGGCCAAGTTTGTTCGAGACAAAATGGGCCATCCAATATATTACCATGTAGTAGAAATATCACCGTTATCAGTAGACAGTATACTGGATAATTTCAAGGAATGGCTCTTACAGATGGTGTCTATCGTTTTCCGAGGGCGTAATTTAGCCCACAATGTGAATAAATATCACTAAGTACATATGTATCTCTACTGGACAATACGAAACGGTTATCAGTAGGTGATTTCAGTAGATGGCATCTAACAACACCGCCTACGTGGAATTCTTGATAGATGAGAAGTCTCATAGAGCTGATTTTTTAGAGTACTTTACTAAACAAGTACTGTAGTTAAAGGTAACTTCTCAGATCTTAGAACAAATCCGAATAGTTTTGTGGATCACGTGCGAAGTGAAATACCTCGGTTTTAATTTAAGACCACCCAGTGACTTCAACATTACGGAGTAGCTATAAGTTTTTTATTCCTCGTACCTGTAAAAAGTTAGGTAGTGAGTCCGTCGATCCAAAGCGAATCTATTTCAAACCTAAAATTCGGTTTTTCTTTTTTAAATCAGATTAGTGTATGATGAAGTGTACAGACACGTCTATGTTCATATGAAGTGTTTCTGGCCTAACTATTAGTCGACCTTTCCGGTTAATCCGCAAATAACGACACTTGCCCAGATTAAAGTTAATTCGAATATAGTGAATACTTTAAAGTAGTAAACAAACGACAACTTTCGTCCGTAAGAACGAACATTCTGGAGGCACTCGATGATAACAGTTGAAGCGTAGGACAGTCGCAAGTTAACGACAGGCCAGTCTGCGTCAAAATTGCTGACTAATATACGCGTAGAGGGAAAATAGCCGCTCGGTCCCGGCCCTAATTGGTAAATAACAAAAACATGCTTTGTATAATTGTGTTACCCTAAACGTTCAGACAGTAACAAATATGATCCCCAATGTAGGGCCCCGACGTCGTGGCTTGGTCGATGGAGCTCCCTGTATACTACGTTAGCCTAATACTAATACGAATTTAATTCAGGTAAGAACACTTTTTACATGTAAAAGCATTCCTTTGGTTTCTTACCTCGCTTGGTGTGGTAGTGGCAGCGATCGTGATAATCGTGTGCAGAGAGCATGCGCCGACCCTCACACACAAAAAAATCATTCCATCGTAGTACCAACGGTCGTGACCATTGCAAAAGAAATGCATCCTACATATAAGACGTTTTTTTTTTTGCTTTTAGTTACTAGCGCAGATTGATATAATAATAACGATCCATTCGCAAGATACTTTTTTATTATGACGGCACAGTAATCTCGGCCTTTTCAGTGAAGTTTCAGCACTTGTACCGAATATTTAAGCTTATATTATCCCCTTAGCAACTACTGCTGCCGCTGCTGCTGCTGTTAAGCGGTACTCTTGCAGGCCAGCAAGTTGTCCTATGCTTTCTTGCGGACGCTAAATTATGAATCGAGAATGTAGTTTATTAATTTGGCATTATTGTGCATGTACAAATTGATGTAAATTCGGCTTTGTTGAAGGTCATTTCGTTTGAGCGATTCGTGTACAGTTCCCATCACTCAAAAATCCGTTTCTCGGATTTCGTCTGGATCTTAGCAAGTCACCTATGACAAACTAAAACGGCTGAAGGATGCCGTTAACTAAAAATATTTCATTGCTTTGTTTCTTCACTTGGCATAAGTAACGCCCTCTGGCCAGGTCTCCAGGCAACTGCAAATTGGCAAATGAGCTTACAGTTACACTGCCGCCCTCAGTGTCAATAAAAAGAAACTCGTGAAGCCCATTCGAGCTCGATGGGTGTCGCTATGTGTATGAGGACGTGCGATGCCGTTTTGTCCCTAATCAAATACGGTCATAGTAATTCAGTGCCAGTGGACAATTGCGTGAGCCTTAGAGGGAACACGCTCGGAGGTGCTTGAATACGAGGTGCTTGAGAACGAAACAGTTCTTTTGAGCCATCATTTTACAACAACTGTTAGCGCAAAGGATCATTCGAAAATATTTCATAATAGATTAATAATATAAGGAGATTGCACTTGATTTCTTGGTGTTTGCTGACAGTGGTGATTATTGCGCTAGAATCCGTCGTTTTGCCGATATTAGGTCCAGAAAATATTGAAACAAAGATGTATCGTAAAGCTTCATTAAATAGCTGAACTAGCGTGAACTAAGGAAGAGATCTTCATCTCAAAAGATTCATTTGCATTTCACAGGCTACCTACAAGGCATCCTTATTTTTTCTTTATGCCAAGTTCTATGCGTTTTAGCCAGCCGATAGAAAAAGGCGCCACTATAGCTTTCTTTGAAGTCGACTTGGAACACGCCAGCGGGAAGAAAGCCAGGCATACGACACGTAAAAAGAGAACTCGGGGACGGTAAGTAAACCTGTTAAGGTATCTAGGACATGACAAGCAACCTGACCTCACAGCAACCATTCACGAAGAGGCGCCGTTGGACTTAGCTTGCAGCCGACAATGAGGTAATATCAGGTTATTACAGCCGAATCTGGCTAACTTCATAATTGAACTAGTTGGGCTAGAATGGACACAGTTGGGCTAGGATGATAGCGTTTTACATTATGTTTAACGTAGTTGTGTTTATTTTTTCACATACCAGCCAGCGCTCTGGTAGCTTTTGAACAACCATATGCCTGCCATTGGCGTTCTTATATGGTTTCTCCTTAAATTATGTATAGTATACTTGTCCGTCAGCTGCATTTGTAGGGCCGAGCAATTATACTTAAGCAGCTTGAAACTAACCTTAAATATTTCTTTGCTTAATTTAGAAAGTACTTGAGACATGATGATGCGGTGTGGCGTTGTCGTCGAATACTCAGACTGTGTCCCAGACGATTGCCGCAACAACGGCCTAAGGAGCTCTAGAGAAGGCCTATTTCCATGATGATATTTCCGTGAACATCTGGTCAACTTTTCGCTGGTCTTCAATTTTCATTTTTGCAACGTCTACACGTTTCGCTTAAGGCCTTCCTGCGTAATGGGTTCTTCAATTTTCAGAAGAACAAAAAACTGACCACTGGGCGTAAATTTTCTGGAAAACTGGAATGTAATTTCCCCTGAAATTAACTCGACCGGTTTCCACTAACATAAGTTTCTTGAGAGTAAGGTACTTAAAAGTTAAATCTTGCCTTCTAGGAGCACATAGTTTAGAGGTTCTTCGATTTCACAGTCCGCCGAGTTGGTTCGCATTATCCTAACAGAAAACAGTCTATGAAATAGAGAGCAATACGCTTTGTCAGCCAATTGTTAGTCGAACAACGAACGAGTGACAATCATGAATTAGGAAAAAAAAGTATAAACGCAAGTACGTACGAGTTTCACATAGAACGGGTTAGACTGCAAAGATCAAATGATAGGAAATACCAATTTGTGTACCAAATAAGCGGTACTGTTCCGCGAAGAAAAATCTCTGAACTAGATTTTGTTAAAGCTCGTTGTTGTTTAATCGTCTCCAGGCACGTTATTGATGAGTAACCTTGAACAGTTCCATGTGTTTCACACTAGTCTTTTATCTGTCTAATTTTAAGCCGCGTAAGTGAATCTTTTTTATAGTCCTGCTACATCGTCATACCATAGCTTTTTAAAATAATTTTGCTCAAAGGCTAAATCTGATCCGTTCATCATATTCAATTAATTAGACCATGGAAATTGTGGTTGCTATACCGACCATGAATCTGACCTGTGAAACGTCCACCAAATACTAATCAGAACACAGCTTCTGGGATTCGAACCTACGGCTGTCCCCACTACGGTATTATATAATGCCTCTGGCACTACTTGTAATACTTTTTAGCACATTCGATGTACCTGAACGACTAAGCTAAGCTAAGCTAAGCTATTGTACCCAACCCTTCTCTAAACTATACAATTCGATATATGTGGATACGTTTGTTGATTGTCGGATCGTGACAATAGGATCTGCTATACTGGTCCTGGTAAGGCAACTATAGTTAGGCTCGAGAGACAAAAATCATGGCGGTAAGATATTTACACTTTACGGTAGAGTTGAAAATTTTCAAGCTAATTCACAATCCCATATTATTCTTTGACGTTTCGATAGACTGTTGAATTTCGCACTCTGAGGCTTTCAGATAAGCTTATTTTTATATTATTTATAATGTAATATAACGGGCTACAATTATACGCTGTTTGACCGTTTGAACAAACAAACAAACAAACAAACAAACAAACGAACACGAAAAATATTATAAGGATGCTTGCTTGTATTTACTTGTTCTAACGAATCGCACGTCTTCAATCAAAAGCTGTAAAATACGTCTAGTGATTTTCATATTTAGCCATATTTAGCCAGAATACCCGAACGATGCAACCGCTAACGAACGACGCTAAAAATAGTCAAGTAACAGGGTTTATGGTTAAGTAGAAGAGATGTACAACGATTTTTTTTCGTTGCACGAGTCAAAAAATCACTCTAGGCATTTATGTTAATAATAGTGTTCCACAATACACACCTTTTTTATTTTTTATCAGCTTTATTTAACTGAGCGTTTAACGCGGGATCTGACAACTCCTACAGACGAATGATGCTCATCCGAACCGGAGCGAAGACCTTCCTTAGCTAGTTTCCTCATCATGCTTGTATGTTTGGACGTAACTTGCGACGCTCAATGCGATGTCTCGCATAAAAGTGTCCCAATCGATGTAACTGACGTCCATCGGGTATTTCTGTACTCTCGTGAGCGCGTTCGAGGAAATATTGGTTGATTTGCGGTAACAAGAAACAGACTCACATAATTAGTTTATGTTTAGGGTTATTTTTTTTTTTGCTTAACCAGTCAAATCGATGAAGCGTTTGACTTTTTAAGAAAAAAAAAAAAGCTCTACAACGGCTTATTAAACACATGTCAGTTACAGAGTATGTACTCTGTCTTATCCATTCTGCGGGCCGAATTACTAGTCGAATTTTGCTATAGGTTCAAAAAAATGTTCGGGGTTACTCCTCAAAGAGGCCATCTGCCGCTTGATAATTAGCCACACACGACTTCATAAATGTACAAACAATGTTCGTGTTTTCTTCGTTACTTTAATCACGCATCGCCTTTTTTTTTAATATTATCATTGTTATTATGATCGTTTGGTGTTAATTGAAGTAACACCCTATCAAAGTAGGGTTTAGTAAGATGTCGGATGCCTACTTAGGCCCTCGATCTGGTGCCGCGAACTAGATATGTAACAAAGGGAGAATCCTGTAAGCTAGACATTGCGGTATTCTTTTAGAAATGGATGTTATTGTTAATAATTCCGAGACGGTCGTTTTCTACAAACTTTGGTACCTCGAGAAAAACAAGTGATCCTAAAACAGCCATCACTGGCCTCTGTCTTCATAACGGTTTCGACGCTCGTGAAAAGTAACAGATCTTATAACAAGATAAGGCTGCTAGAAAGATTTTCGAAAATAGAATACACCATGACCCTTCGATAGTGTTCTAGTGGCAGTCACAAGCAACTATGTCGGATTTGTTGATCACGTTATAAGCTTTATTACTTGAATAATCAAAATTTTATAATGTTCTCCGAACTATAACGATACGGAATTCATGACGGGACTACTCAACTAACACGATAAAACCAGGTTGCTCACTTGTGGGTTCTATCCTTTAGGTCTGGTCCTTCATCGAAGAAATCTGCATTTAGCTCAAATCAAACGTTCTGGGCCGCATCTGACATGGCGCGAAAATCGGCTGGCTAATTTTCTTTGTTTACCATACAAACAATTCTCAAAGCTAATAAGGCTCACACACGATCATAGCCACGCTATAAGCCTAATGTGTCGCATTTTCTATTCAGCGGTCGTTTTAAAAGCAATACCGACATATTCTGCCGACTTCGTAGACTTTTTCCTCTATTGAATAACCGGATATTGCCAGTATTATGAAATGGTTACCTTGTACTCTTTAGGAGGAAGAAGAGTTGTAAGGGATCGCACGTTTTCGTAGTCGAAGATGAAATCACCCGAAGGAAAGTTGTCAAGAACGCTCGCTTTAAGGTGCGCTCTCCGGAGTTTCGTTACCGCTTCAATGTTCCGCTGTCCGCTGCAGATGTGACGTGCTAAACCCGATATTAATCAATCGTTCATGAAAATCCATGTAAAAAAAAAAAAGCTACTAATGATTGGTTATATACCTTGGGACATCGTACCGTATTATAAACAAAAATGTTCAACTGATACTCGGTAAATTCTCACCGGCGATAACCAAAACAGCGACCCCCTGGGAAAACAAAAATCCGGGTAAATTCCGAGTAATCATGCAAGCGAACGACAACCGTTGGTTACGAACTAGATATAATTCTGAATAGGGTAGCCAAATTTCTCTACCCTGATAATATAATAGCTAATAACCAGGTCTGTGTATACCAATTCTCCTATCTGTATAGCTGGGTCTGTGTACATTTTTTGAAAAATTAACGAACGTTTGAATCCAATAAAATTACATAACTGTTCTACGACAATTCAACTAACTTATGAGGACTGTCCACATATCAGTTATGAAAGCTGGAATATAGAAGAGCACAAGTACGATGAATCGCCATACACGACTGTTGGTCGTGTTCAATTTGCGGTAGTTTGCCGGCTTCGTTGGTCGATTTTCGAGTGCTGTGATCATTCTGGTTGTCATCTCTTTGGCCAGTGGCGTGGTGCAGGTATCAATACAGTTGTATACTAAACCGTTTGCGCGATGTCTTTCCGCGCACCTCCAGCCAGCTCCTATAACGATATTGGCCGCCATATCAACTGGGATCAGGGTTATCTGGCTTACGGGATCTAGGAGGATTGGGATTTCATATCCCATATCAGCCTAGTTGAATAACAAATGTATAAAGAGGACGATTTAGTAAGCTGGCATGAAGAAACGAGGTAGACGTAGACAGGGTCATGCGGACTAAACCTCACCGCGGTCGAAATGATAGTGAAAAATGAAAAAATTGGGGTGTCTCTGCTAGTAAGGTCACTCATTAGGACCACTGTTATTAGAGCGAAATACTGTAAGGGATCAAATCAAATTAGAGGGGGCCGTGCTGGGTCACAAAGGCCGACGATGCTGACAGCTATCAGGATAACTACAGAACTGTATATGGTAGCGGGGCTAGGTATGCGAAGGTCATGCGCAAAAACAAACAAGAATGCAAAACAGTAGCAGCGACGTAATTCTATTTCTGAACGCCAAACGAAGACAAAAGCGAGTTGCGACTGACACCGAAAATTACCGAAGATTAGCACAAACCTGAAAATAGGACAAGTACGGTATCTGGTACTGTCTAGCGCGTAGCGCAGCTAAACAGCTTCTAGGACAAAGCAAAGCCTACGTACGTTTGGCTGTCATGTAAAAGTGTGAACATCGCTTTCCACATGCTTCAATGTCCTAGCTACATTACTCGAAAACACTAGGACAATAAGTTGAGTGAAATATTCTGCTATGATTGTCATAGTCGATCATCTAGTAAAGGATTGTACCGGGTCTTTCCGTTGCGGTGGACATGCGACGTCCTGTCGGGGGCTAAAAGCGTAAACGCCCTCATAAGAGGCCCGGGGAGAGATTAGGAGCTATGCAGGAGCATTCAGCAGAAGCAAACGGTTAAACCGGAGCGAGAGAAAACGGAATGGTTCTTCTAGATAGTAACAGGTGGTCGACTGATTGAAAAATTTCCCAGGACAATGACATCACTTACCATAATCGTAATGATCAGTCATGTAAGTGATCCAGATAAACTGCAATCGCAACAATTCCGTCTATGCAATGGTGGATAAAATAGTCAACAAAGGTCGTGCTAAACTAAGCACTCATCGTTGATAAATGGAAGAACACACTGGATCACATATAAAAAAAAATAGAAGTGCGTGCATTATCGTTAATCAATAAGCCAACTTTTCCTCTTACATTGGCTGGTAGTTCTGATCATGATGATCTAGGCTTGAATAAGAGTTTTAGATGTAAATAATAATTTGAAAAAACTGGAAATTTTCGAAATTTTTGACATATGCTAGTATTAACTTTGTATAGCTTAGTTGCTATAAGAAAATATAAAGACAGCTAAAAGCCAGTTCAAACACATATACTAGACCTGGGCAACAACACCATGAAAATTGTGGAAGTTGTCCAACCATGCTCGCGTCGGGTCCCGTAGGGACCCAATAACGATAGGGTGCCTTACGATGGCGTGAGGTACACCAGAGTAATGGACAAGGCTTTCAGCGTGGAACTTGGAGAACGTGAACGTGTTCGGGTGGCCGTTCAACTCGCTCGAGTCTAAAAAAGCCGGGTCTGATTCCAGCAGCTGCAATAGGTCCATAGCTAATTCATATGCAAGACAAAAAATTACATTATAACACAGAAATTATGAACAAGAATATTGAAACAACGATGCGGCAGCAGACTCACTATTTGTTGTTTCGTTTTGCCTTCACAGGACGTAAACACCCTGATAGGTTTACCGTCACATGATTCACGCTATAAATGCATTGGGTTTGAATAGAGGCAAAAGAACTTAAATCCATAAAATAAAAACGATGACGCTAACCCTAAGTTTACCTTTTTTGCAATCGGAAGTTGCTACGCGCTCTTCGATAAATCGACGGTAACATCCTGTATACGAAGTAGATACGTACACAAGACATCGAAGTCCTACTATCGTATTGCATAACTTCAACATGACGGAAGTGCTTAACAGGTTACGACGCACTGCTGCGCTGAGACTGTGATCGAAACGAGTGCTTGTCGCCGAATGAATCACTATCTGTATAAACACATTCGAGGGCAAAGATGTTTGCTGAACCACCTCAACTACGGAGTTGAGCTTATTTTTGCTATACTCTATCTCCGACCTGCATATAGGACCTGCTAAGGTCCTAAGATAGCTGCCACGCTGCTAACGTAGCTAGCTGATAGGTCTCTTCTTAGGGCCACGATTTCCACCACCGAGTTTCGAAATACCGCTTAGCAATCATACTAGCTTGTTGTGTATCCTACAGGATACGTATCGTCATGTTATTTCTAGTAATACATATAGGAGAGTACTAAAACGACACCTATATAATCGCTCAATGACGCAACAATTCGGTCAGAGTCCATGACGGAGTCAAGTGACTTACGTGACGACGTTAATCATTGCGTCAACTATCGATGATATGGCCTGAACACTGAAAGGCGTGTAATATTTAGCTCTGTGCGCATTATACAAGCCAAGGAGGCATACAACATCTATAGCATCATTATCAATAACCAAACTCGCTGGTCTACAATCACTATTGTAAACAGTCGCTGCTGTTGACATTTGAAAAAAACGGTCGCTGACATAAACGACCGTTCGTCAAAATTAACGGATACAATCTGTATCACATACTTAGTAGTAGGTGGTAGTAGTAAGTAGGTGGTGTCCGCGTTCCATTTCCACTAATTTGTCAAGAGAGGCAAATTTATTTGCTCGCAATGGGGCAAGTTAATTGCGTACCAGCTATGGTCAAACAAGTTTAGCCGTCTAGATGCACTTCCAAAGGAGAGCGGTGGCTGTTTGTGATCTTTCGCCTAAGCGCGTACCGTTACTTCATTCCGTAACAATGAAAGGTCGTGTAGTTTGATTCCATGTGACGCAGTAGAAACATCGCCCTCGACCAGCTGTACGCGTTTTTTCAGTCTTAATAAGTCCGAGGTGAAAAGGAAGTCGCTAAACAAATCTTCGAATCTCTGTTGAGCAGTTTTATTCTTTTTCTTACGAATAAGAAGATATACTTTACGAGTTTTCATCCGCAGTAACTGGAATAAAATGAACTGTAAAACGAACATAACAGAATTGAAAGACATTTTTAATATAAAAATAAGTGAAATCTTCACAATTTCACCACTTATTTTTTTAGATCGAAAAGTTGTGGGATTAGACCGGCATGTTTGATAATAAGCAGTTCTCTTACATCGTTATCAGATGTCAGATCGTAAGCTGACCCACCTTGCCGACAAAGCCGGTAGAGCCCATAAGCAGTACGGTTTGTTGTTGATAAAAAGCTTCCATGGCAATTTTGTCTTAGACTCAAATTTGATCCGTATATATTGTATTGGAGGAAGCCTGAAACAAAGGTGGTCTACTTGAACATAAATGCGTAAACCCATTTACTATGGTTTAGCGAACGAATCGATCATAGTTCACTATGTATATGCATATTTGCATGTAAAACATCATACAATATTTCATAACTCCTTCGGATACATCCAAACTATGTCTGACCTATGAAACCACCAATATTTTTGCCCTATTTACTTGTTTTTACTTGCGAGGCAATGGATAAAATCAGTCACAAAAAACATCGACCTTGATAGTATTCTAGCTTCACTAATGGATAATTTCCGCAGAATTTAATTATCACGATTACAGTCTTATTAAAATGATATCACCAATACGTAATTTACAAAGGACGTAGATTGGACGTCACAGAAAAGTTGCCACAAAAAAAAAACATACGGCAGATATTTCGGTTTATGGGCGAGACACGCAGAACTCCCTGTAGCGACATATGGGACTGACATACTCATTTTATTATTATTATGAAAAGAGTTTACAATTCTAACAAAGCTATTAAGGCAATGTTTAAACATTTTGGAATATACGCCCTGCACAGACGAAGATCACACACCAGCTGCTAAACACTCCGTTATTCTCCGTTGAACAATAAGTAACTTCGGGAACTCGGCCATCAAATAACGCGTGTAATGCCATTTGTCTTCATGTAAAATGGTTAATCTGAGTCTCGGCGTAAACCGTAAATCATAACTAGTTTTGCGCAAAACGTGCCGTCTTGGTGCGTTTTGCAGGACAATCGAAGCTCACGCTTCTAAAATATAATCAAGTCCTCTTTCTGATTTAGAGTTGATAAATACACTAGATTTTCGTTTGTCAACTCATAACAAGCCACAATGGGTGAACTCTGACTACGTTTTTGAAATTTTATTACTATTATTATTATTATTATATGCTGTGCCATTCACCTACCATAGGTACCGTGTAGAGCTCATGACGTATGAGACGAAGAAATCCCTCGGTAAATTGAAAATTAAATAGAAATAAGAATCTGGCTATAGTTCGATAGCGGTTAAAGCATGAGCCCAAGATTGAGACTATCGGATATACGTAAGTTGCCCTAGATCTAGGAAAAATGTTCTGATAAAGGACCAATTTAAGCGTTTACGGCTCTTGAGGTCCTAGTCGCATCTTAATGTGGCTAAAAAGAGGCTGTGTACAAAAGCAGGTACATGTCAATAGAAGGTTCCATGCGGCATTGTTAAAGAAGATCAATACGGGGGATCAGAAGCAGTTTTCACCGCTGGAAACGTACGCGGATGAAGACTTAAATGACTGCAGAAACAGCTGTTATTTGTAACTTGAATTACTACACAAACTTCCTGATTAAGTCCAGAGTTCAACGTGGCCTCTCCGTCTATACGGGCACAATTTCCCTACTGGACTGAAGTACTGCCATGACTCGACACATCGCCGAAGGTGCATCAGACCAAAAAGTCTATTAACCAGCGGATGTTTAGTTTTCATTTGAGTTCGACAACGCTACTACGGACAAAATCAACTCTAATCTACCGTCTTTCGCCGTGAGAGCTTTGCAACGAGGGGCCCAAAGCAGCCTGGAGGATACCGAATAACGTCCTTTATACGGGAGTTCCGAAATAAAATGCTCTACAACTTTCTAGTGTTTTAAAGACTCGGTCAACGGCCTCGGTTTATCGGCAACAAGGTCAATACAGTTTATGTGGCAAGACACCGTCGGCCAGTAATAAGAAAAGTTTGTGCACGCGAGCCGTGGGTATAGCCAAGGAATAATAATGTTCAAGAGCTTCCTTCCGAATTGAACGGGTACTCAGTCGAAAAGCAGCTCGTGTGTCATTCATCTTTCAATGGGCCGGTTGGTTCCGTTCGAGCGGTTCGTATAGCAGATTTAGCCTCGCAGACAGTTACCACCAGAAAGCGTTTCGGTGTCGTATATAGGTAGCTGGACTGCTTGAGTTACCTGGCGGTCACGGATACCCTTAAAATAGCTAATGTTCAGTAAGTCGATATTCTATGCTATCATTCGGGCCGCTACTACGCGGATTCGACACGCCAGCAAAATGATACCCAACTAGATGAGGTAACTCATATCATGGTTGCATAGAGGCGTGCATGATATCACACCGTCCCTGCAACTTTATTACCTGCTTCATTGATTTTAGCAGAAATGAAGAACTAAGAATTCAGCCCTCTAACAGACTCGACAAGCTGTGTGCTCTGCAGCATTACAGGGATATTTATGAACGGGAAATCTGTGAAAAAATGGTTCTGCTGCGTTCAGTACACAATCGCCCCAGGCGTTGCAAGGATACCGGACACGAGAAGAGTTCGCTAGACGGTAAAAAAAATAAGTTTCTCATTTCGCTATCTCAGAGCGTTATGTTCAGAAAAGGCGTACTTGGTACAGTTAATGAGCTCGGTGCAGGGATAGGTGCAAAAAGGTTGGATAAGTGGGGATTTTTTTACATCGGAATGATAGGAAGGAAGTCGTTTTGCACGAAAGCTTCTATACTGTAGCTTATGCCAGTATTTATTTATTTTTTTAACTGCTATGTGAAAATATCGGCCATTCACCGGGTTTAGCCCCGTTGCGTAACGAACACCCTAGCCATTATTAAGCTCCTGTCAGTTCTTACATAAGCAAAATGAATTGTTGCGGGCAGTCCAGTAACGACTGCCCTTATATTAACATTACTTCGTTGAGTTATAACAATAATGCTTAACAGCAATTAATTGAATAACTTAAACAAGTTATTTTATTAGGATAGTCTAACCCTTTCGTATTTTTTTTAGCTACAGAAAACTACGCTTGTAACGGCTAGAAGTTTACTAACAATAATAACTGACTGAAAAAATCATCATGCCACAAGATTTACCACAAGTTATTAGCAGAGAATTGGAATACTAACACAACAGCTGTTAAGTTTCATGGTCTTATATAATTAGATTAACTAAGAGAGATAAAACAGATTTTAGATGTTAGCAGCATACGTCCAAGTGCTTCAGAAAAATCGTTCCGCGACCGCTAACCGCGTTGCCTGTAGTGCTCAATATTATTCCTATCTACAAGCAACTATGTTTAGCATCAAACATGGATGACAGAATATCTGTTTGCATGAGCATCTTGAATGCTTATTGGTGGTATACGATAATTATCCTTCTCTGTTAGACATACCATTTCATAGTGTCAGATGGAATTGAAGTTCGCGGTCTTTTTTGAATTCATCTTCGCTTGCAGCGCCGAGGGTGGTGTCTACTAGGTAAACGTCCCAGGTGACAATAGACACACCCGATCGTTGTATCTGTTAGCTTAGATCGGAATAAGTGGCCACAGCTCGAAAAAAACCACACAGTCATCCTCCTATGATCAGTTGTTTTAGGTAAAAATTCACAGTCACAAGCTCACGGCTTCCCTACGACTTGTATTGATATATGGGATTTTCAATAGGCCTATAAGATAGCACTGGCTAACCTAGGATCATATCCGACAATTACAATAGTAGTAACTTTTATTGGCACCCTTCGTTCGATAAATACTAGTAAAATAAATAAATAAATAAAATATTAGTAACCCTAACTAAATAGTGCTATGGCTGTCCCATTGCATACAAAGCGTTCGATAGAGCGCCTTTTAGAAGAGACTTCCGACAAAGACGACAACTTCTTTTTTCGAAAGAATTTCGAAAACAAGTATGTGGATTGCAAGGGAACATATATTACTCTTGGCTAGATGTTATACAATATATATATATATATATATATATATATTATATAATATCTAGTTAATCTACTTAATAATCTTAATCTTCTTTTAGGTTATAATAATCAGGTGTTTGACATGCAGCACGATAATATCCGTGAATTATGTTTCCAGTTACGGCGTGTCCATTGGTTCTTCCAAGTCTAACACTGTGTTGCGCATTCTTCGTTCTTATGATATGTATATATATCATTTATACATTAAGAACATATCATTTATGATATGTTTATAAACGTTACACACAGTAACTTTACAAAAATACTCGTCCTAACATTGTAAAGTATGTCAGTTATAAACCCTAAACATTTTGTAAAATGCTTTGTTAAAAAAAAAAAAAGAAAAAGTCATGCTTAAGATGTCCAATTAAAACAGCTTAGTAGTAGCATTATTACTTGGGATTAATATGTAACCTTCTAAGAAACCTTCTATTATTACTATTATAACAGTAGTAATTTTGAAAAGTTTTCCTTAACTTTATCGACGAATATTAGCAAGTTACGAACACTTCCGATCACATGGCTAAATTCACCATCGGCTTTCTGGTTCAGGTACAAAATCAGATCCACCTCAAAGGCAGACACTGCGTCCTGATACGAGCAACTTCTTCGAAACATTGGAAGATTCTTGCTATTTTTATTAATTTTATGACGTTTTTAGTCTGCACATGAATAGTCTGTGTCATTAGTTAGCTAACCTCTGTAATATCGAACGAAATAAAGAAAAGGAGAAAAAGGATTGACACATTCATTGGTCGGATCTTGTGTTCTAATATTTTGCAAACTTCTGAAATTCGCTTCTGTACACTGGTATTTCAAACAAAAGTAGAACTCATTTCACCATAGGCCTTAGGTAAACGTTACAAATATTTGTGTGTGTATATATATGAATATAGCAGGATTATAGGGAAGAATGATAGGCACTGTAAAACAGTATCGTGTGCGGCCAATAAAGTCTGATGATTAAACTAGGATTGTTGTACAAGTGCACTGTGATTAGTTAGTACTGTTGAAACAACAGCTTCTGTCAAATTTAAAAGCTCTAGGGTTACGCGTGAGCTGGGTCTTAATTTGACATCTTTTCCTATGAAGCAGGCTTCAAAGCACACCATAGGGCTAATGTAAAAATCCATACTACACGACGTACCCGAGTAGCATTAGATACATACACTTCACTGCACGTTTGATGAAACAAAAAAAAATAAAAAGTCGTCAGATCCCGCACTGGATAAGGTTCTCTTCCGGATGAACAGATATATTGCGCAAAGGTAATACCCACTCTCTAGGTATTCTATCTCCCTTAGGCGTGGCAATAAAGTTTATATATAGTTGCTTGAGCTGCTATGTCGAATGTTGATTTCATCGTTCTGTCCCGCAGAATGATCAAAAGATAGCACAGCATTGGTTAGGGCAATCACACGTACTTCATTTGCTTGGAAGCTCGAAACGTACACTGAAATGCGTGTTGAAACGTTGCACGTATCCACGCTGCGCGAAAAATTAATTTGAGAACGAAAACCCGATTCGTAAATATAATGAATAGAAGCTTATTTGCTTTGATGTCTTTACTGAGTATTCTTTATTTAACTCCGGAAAAAATTTGAACACGCATCCTGAACAAGGACATGCAAAATATCAGTTAGCATGCTTAGCAAGTACGTAGATGTGAAACGTAACGTGCAAACTCAATCAGCAGACCTACCAGATTGCCCCAAATGGAACTTCACATCAGTCACTTTACTGATCTGGTAAATCTTGTCATTACCGCGTGAAAATCAATTTAAACAAATCAAAACTGTTTTTGGCGTATCAAAGTATATTCATAACCCCGCTAGTAACTTTCTGCATAAAAAAAAAAATAACTTTTTTATCGTTCGAGGACATAGGCCTCAATGTTGCAAGCTATCGTCGAGTGCTCCATGGGTACAATCAAAAAGTAGAATGTAGTATTTTGGTGTCCATCGTTTACAGCTTCTTATTGGATGATTTTAACCAGCGAGACGTCAAGCAAGAAATGTCAATAGGTCTTATAATAAAAATAACTTACGGATGTAATGCAAAGTTGCAAAGGCCCATGTCGTACATTGCCGAAAAAAAAAATAAGTAGAATTACGTCCAAGTATTATACATGATTGTCATTCGTAACTTTTTCTTTAGCAAGAAACTGGTGCAGTGAAACAGGTCGTTTATCACTTCAGCAGTTGACGATGTGTGGGTGGTTCCTAGGGCAGACTCAATCCAAACGATGCAAACATTTCCTCCTGATAGACTTCTGGCATTACCTATAGCTGCTCTGTCCGTATGAATTTCCTGGCAGTTATAAACGTTTTCAGAATTCATCTTGTTCAGGAGTTAGATATTTCATTTATATCCATTCTATATATATATAAATATCCACACATAAATAAATAAATGCACAAAAGCGCGTGGTTTCTCACCGCCACTACGACGTCATTGCTTAGTCGTTGATCTTGGAGGAAATCACCAAGACCGACAAAATATTCCAAAAGCTCAGATCGTCTCACATCTTCGATGAGTTAAGCCCTGTTGTAAATATTCTAATTGATAACATTTATTCATTAGATGTTAACAACACGATGTATGTACAGTTACATAACAAAAAACGTGTGACAAAAAAAATGGCGCAAGATAAATAGTGATTACTCATTTGTATACTACCTAGATTACAACATTCAAAAGCCAAAAATTTTATGGTATAAGTGCTAAGCTTGTGAAGCTAATAGGTCAACCAGTCTTTTAAGAAAAGGCACTAGGTAACAATTAGCATAATGCCCCTACTTCTACTTTAACTATGCCCATTGGTAGGCTCATGAATTTCGAAGCGGGTGACAAATTTGTCCGGTTGCTCTCCTTCCAGCCATTACTTTTCATAACTCCAGCGTCAAAAGAATTGCCATCTATTGCGGCGACCGTCTACTGTCTGCTTCTGAAACACTTGGACACAGTGCCGATTGCCGAATCCAAGATCATCAGCATGAAAGTGAACTACTTCGTACCGTGAAACGAGGGCTCAAAGCACCCCTAACAATCAGGCCTTCACTTGGCTGACTAATTCAAGATCCCGTTCATGTATTAGGGGGTTATCCAGCGAAGAATCAAGAATCATGGGCCACAATCCAGGCAATTTCATACGTGTGTCTTTCGACGGAAAATCTGGAAAAAGGTGGATAGTTGGGTGTTTGCTTCGCGGCCCAAATGCTGCAGCAATGCCGGTCGTCGTCGCACGACACATTTCAGAGCCCCCACAAAGATGAGGTTCTTACCTTAATTTCTTGAAGAACACCTGTTAAAAGCAATTGTCTGTCAAAGCAATACATAAGTTTAATCTAAAGGATAAACAAAAAAGATTCGTCTAAACGGGAACCCTTTACAGTTAGCGAAACTGAGGGAATCGTTTTCTGTATTTCCGCTGATGCCAGTGTATAGGATCATTAGTAGCAAATAAATTTAACCACTTCCCCGTAGCCCAGTTGTCAATTTTTGTAAATTTGTTCTTCGCAGCTATAAAATTAATCTTTTATGTATTGAAATTATCATAACTATTTTATGCTATGTTGAGCTGCAGCAACTTAGTTATATCCGAATGAAAACTATATTGTGTAGATGTATTTTTCTAGTTCCAGTCCTTCGTATCTTTTTGCGAACCCAGCTGGGAAAAGGGGTCGGAGAACGGGTAACGATTTATTACACTCGCAGAACACAGAGCTATTATAGATGGGGTTTATTTTCAAAAGCTTTATTTTATTTACAAAAGCTTACTAAAAATAAATGGCTGAATCAATTAGATCGACATTTAAGACTATGCAACTATTATACACCCTATTCGATTCGGTGATCACTCTGCATTACTTTATTAGGCGTTTTTAGCTAGCAGAGGTAGGTCTCAGAGGTAAAATTGCAAGCGTTACTGGATCTCTTTCTATGCAAAAGGCTAAGCAGTTGCTTATGTCCTCTACAGATATGGTGCATTCTGCATTGGATCTATCATGATGGAGATCATCAGATACCTTGCATCACGATACCTTGCTAGCTTTGTCGGTTAGAAAATCGGTGCTTTGCCGGGCTAGGCTTTGTTGTCATCAAAAATGAAAAGTCGGATAAGTTTCCGAATCATTCGGACCAGAATGATTTCTTTCTTAGTTTGATTTTTCAAGGAACAGATATGTTTTGTCGGAGACTGTCAGCATTCCCAAAGCATTCCACTTCTGAGTGCTATTGTATATATTTTAGTAGATTTAGATATAGTGAACCCTTAAAAGGCTCTGTTCGTTTCGCACAATATTTGTAACATAGATGCGTTCATCCATTGACAAATCTGCGAATAAGACGTAATTTATCTTTTAACTATATAAAAAGCCATTATTTTCCTTTGTACTGTACTATACTTTGCTGTGATAGTATATATAACTTGGTAAAGTCCTCTTGTTCTAATAAGATCGCCTCTTATTCGTTTGCTGTAATTAAATGTTCACTAATTACTTTATGATATTTTAGAAAAATAGACTGGCTAGCATAATACGACCTATTTTAGAATTAAAAAAACCTACAGTTTTCACTCAAATGCAAATTAGAGGTAGCAGTGGTCGTGTTCTACTAAAACAGCGTCATAGACCAAGTATCCTCAAACTATACTATTCTCTGTCTAAGGCCGCGGGCCTTTTTAAACACTTCAACGAAACCTGTAACTCCCAAGAGCGAAATCTGCAATGAACATATATCCGCTGAAAAGAAAAAAGTTTTCGCTGGTTTCGTCTAGATAACAATAGATAGGTGAGGTATAATTATGATTAGGGGGTATGTGCAACTGCTTTCTGCTAATATTTGTCTACAGGGGTATTTAGGTATACATTGAAAGCGGGCTATCATTTCTGCTATCGCTTTAATGCTTAGCGTGCCTTTATAGTCATAGGTATCACGACTATTTGCCTATGGCGGTGAAATATTGTGATACGCAAAAAACATTCTACGTGCCATGTATAGTTTTGCTTCTCGTTGGCCCTAAATTTCTATTAATATACTAGGTTTTTGGAGATTAATGGCGATTTATCACTAGACTATAAGCGTTAAAAAGACGTTCCATGATACCCTTCTGGTCCATGTTAAAAGATAAATGATCCAAAAATGAGTCATTCAGACATTTATGGTCCTCTATTTTCAACCCTGTTTTTTTTTTATGATTTAATGTACTATTACGGATCTTACTCTCACTAACACTTGTGGAAACTCTTTTTCACTACGCTATCGAAACAGTCAGTTTATATCCAATTCAGTTGTATAGTACATAAGTACACACTATACATTCACGTACCTGTTAACCGACACATAGAAGGATATATATGCTTTTTGTATATATACTTGAGAAAGGTAACAGCTGTTACCATATCATTAAGCTATCGAAGGGTACTAAAAAACATCTCATTGTATACAATAGGTAAGCCACAGAAACATGGTACAAGATGAAACTAAAATTACAGTGACGAAGTCCTTTTCTCCACTCGGTCGGCAGAGTTTTTCTTAGTGGTCATGTCCGTAGAAAGGGGCAAGAGTCGCTGCATGAGCGCAGGCAGAAAAAGCTGTGGGGGCGATTGCCATTTGTTCTGCGTAGCTAGTAACCGGTTCAAAATGAGCCTGAGCCTGGGCCGTGACAGGGTTAGCATGGGCATACGAAGCCCTAGGGGTGGCAACGACGTATCCGTGCGATGTGATAGAGGCCGACTGCACAACGGCGATCGGAGCCTTAGCGTAGGTCTCTACAGGAATCACGTCTTTGTCGTGTTGAATTTGCGCATCGTAGTGGGCCGCAGCCGGATGTGAGGGAGCTGTTCTTGGCTTGTTGGTCTTGATATTGACACGGAATCCATGAGCGTCGGCGGCGTAGTTGACATACCGCTCGATACCGTAAGCATCACCGAAGGAGTATAAACCCTTCTTGCTATTGTGCTCGTCGGATACCTCGTGGCGAAACTGCTTCGTGCCGTAGTCATCGACGGAGTCGTAACCGAACCCGTACAGCAGTGGGGGATAATGGACCGCTTTGGACACAACGCCAGGATGACCACGGTGGCCGTGTCCTGCGTAAGTGACAAATGTTACAGGGTGCAGGACAGCAATAGCGAGCGGGGCAGCATGTTCATAACCAACGGAATGTCCGTAGCTAGAGGTGACGATGGAAGCTGCAGCCAGCGTGGCATGATCATGGTCGCGTCCATAGGCCAGTCCTGGGGTGGCGGTGACTACAGAAATCGCTACAGCAGATGCGATAACGGCCTGTGAAGTTGATATCTAGAGTTGATTATACGATTGATATAGTAGGAGACGATAAGAAATACTAGTTACCTCAACAATACGCTAGCGGTTATGTGGACAATAGGTTTACAAGGCTTAAGCTTAATCTCATGTCACTGATCTTGTAAGAAGGCTCAATGGGCTAAGGATTCAATATAAAATATACCTGGGCGAACATGATAAATTCCCGTTATCTTATGATGGTTTATGATCTTCTGATCACCCTCTCATAGGATTTTATACAGCAATATATAGGTGAGCTGGACCCGATTCCTGTGTAGTTAATGGAGAGGAGCACAAGTCTGCAAGCTGTCTGCACGGCATGCACACATCCAGCAGTGACTGCGGATATCTATATTTTATGCTGTGGGCGAAGTCCGTAACAAAAATGTCAATGATGGATGTCGGTGTCAGTGTCAAAGCCAAAATGGAAATTCGTGTACACATCGTGCGAAAACAATGCTTAATACTATACTTTTGTATTTTATCAACTATCTATTGCGTGAAGGGTTTACCTGATAATGGATTAGAAGCGTGCACGTGGTGTATTTTCTAAACTACCTTCGTAGCATTTTCATTCATGAAACATATCCTCAAATATTCTAACGTATGATATATAATAATTAGAGAGCAAGCATATCTTCAAAAGAAAAAAATTATTTTTTTCTTTACAACGTCAGTTCCGAGATAAACTTGGCTATTAGGTCGCGACAGAGGGACCTCTTCCACCAACTTCGTTTCAATTGATCAGTCGTATTGCGTCAACCATATTACATCAACAATTATGTCTTAAATATGGAGCTCACAGGATGAGTTCAATAAAAGGAACTGAGCAAAAATGCAAGCATACTTCACGTAATAATAATATTAATAATAATAAATGTCCTACTCTGTAAAAAAAAAGTGTTTCGTTATAATCGTTCAAACAGGTGCTCAATCAATTATAAGTATGGTTCAGATAATGTCGTAGATTGCCCTCGACCTTCTTGTCGAACGGAGATCTTTCTGACTGGCATCAAAAAAAAATCTAGGAGGCACGCGAATCGGAACGATTGTTAGCTGGCTATGTAAAAATATAAAAAATGGCGTGGAAAAATAGAAAAACTACGTAATGTTTAACTTAAATAAATGAAATATTTATTAGCAAAATGATTTCAAAACTGCTTTGTGAAAACCCAAGTCAATGGCTGTTAATTGGGCGTTGTTTTCATTAAACTTTCTCGGCTGATAATTACTAATTGGTACAAGCCTGTTCAGTCCCGGGATATCTGCTGCCGTTACGGCGGCCTAGAAAGTCATCACGGTGGCTTTCAATTCGATAGCTTCGATCAACGTTCTCTGATGGAAAAGTTACAGCTATAGTACTGGCAATAGGTAATTATCTCGTTTAATTAAGTCATGGCTTAGCAGACGACGAAGCTGGCCGTCAGCGATCGGAAGCTGACGGCCGCGGCGACCGCTAGCAGTTTGATGCAGCCGTTGACGCTGTAGAGTCTTAATGACGTGCAGCATCTCGTAGCGTAGAAAAGGGAAAAGAAACCTTTCTAAGGTTGCAAATTACGTTGTTTGGCGTGTCTATTTTGTTTGGCGTGCATTTTTGAATACGGCGGGGCTGCAAGCCGCGAAACCCTAACTCAGCCCATGGTGGGCGCGCAAAGTGGAAAAAATTCGCTTTACCGCACTTACTCAGGACAAAATCTTCGATAAAGAATTACACATAGGAAGAAGTGTCTCGATCTAATAGTTTTTGAGTAGAAATTCTAAACTTATGTTTTATGCCAGATATGTGAAGTCAATAGGGGTATACTGATAGAGAAGCTAGTTCGTATAAATATTAAGCAGGGAAAATGTTAGTTGTGGAATATGGCTTAGAATAATCGACAAAAAACTAAACTCAGACTGGCTTTTCTACGTAAAAGACTAAATTAGACGTTCGACATACCGTTTCGGCGAGTTAATAATAAATCAAATATGCTCGACAGAAATCTTACAGAAAATAAATCGTGTCGTAATGCCTTTTGCCCATTGACTTCTGTTTTGACGATCAGCCGGCGTGCTAACGCATCGTGAAGGCATGCCTAGAAAAGCTACGGAGTCACAGTTCAACCGTGGCCTGACGCAGTAAATTATCCGTCCGTACTATGTGTAACATTTAAATATGCTATTATCATAGAATGAATACAACTTAATTAGTGGTTGTATTCGTCTAAACAATATATTATTTACGTCCATCGATAAACCCAAAAAAAGTCGGACTAATTTCGTGCTGCGATCGCGGATTGTAACTCTTTTGTTTGGTGGATAAACTACCCGTTCCGACAGCCTAACGGTGTAGGTGTGTGCCGTGGGGTATTATTCCCAGGGGCATTGATTTTGGGGTCAATGATAGCGAAGCATCCATTGAAATCTAGCGTAGCAGAAGGATAAAACAATCAATACAATCAGCGTCTTTATCACTTCTCTTATACCCGTTCGTTGAAGCATGCCACTGATCCGACCCCATTCACCATTTAGACACTAGACGGTGGATAGATAAAATCGTTGCCTAACAGTTCGTCAGCTATTTATTTTCATTAGTTTTAGCACGTATAACGTATATCACGTATTGCCAATCTGATCGTGCTAATAATGGCCAGAATGATACCTGATGGTATAGTACCTCCATCGATACATAAAACCGGCAATCAGACCGTCACCCTGGCAATACATCGATGATGTCCATAGTCTAAAACCTTAGGAACACTACGCAACTAGTCATATAAAAATGACAGCAATACACAGTGCAGAATAATTAAGCGTGACGGCGAACGTGCGTGTATTTACGTACTTCAGAAGTACATACTACGTATATGTACGTTCATGCATGTGTGCTTCTAGTAGTAATTAGCGTGCCCCAATTAATGCGAACTGGAATTGCTTAAATTGTTCAGGACTGATAAACGTTTAACGCTCATGGCAGTGCATGAACACAGCCAGATACTGTAATCTAAATAAATATAAATAACGAGGAACGAAGTTGATGGATGGATTGTAAAATACAATTTGGCTAGTAAAATTGAAATTCAAGGTGCGTCCACGGCTCTTAGTTTCTCTAATAGCTAAGTCCATACAGGACGCGTTATTACTACTATCACGCACATCATCGACAAGAAATTTTTAATTATTAAAGTATAAAGCTTCGAGTCAGTCAGATTTCGATGGCTTCGCTCTAAAACTGGATCTTAGCTAACAATTAAGGCTTAAAGGGTTTATAGGTTAGGTTATACTCGTACATGGGACATTTAATCTCGTTTCATAATATCTCCACAACTGACAGTAATTCTCTGTGAAAGATAAGAAGCGTAAAACAATGTCGATTTAAGGCCTGTCATGAACAATATTCCTATAACAGGCTTACGGTCTTCCACGACTTCTTTAAGGTGTAGCCCAGTTATCTTATCAGACTCTTTTCAGTCCCAAAGACGTATACTACTGAATTAAATGGGTATCGATAAGACGCATGGCTTTTGTCCGCTAAAGGCCAGCTTGCGACATGGTTTGTCAGGGCGCCACGCCTACGTGCCCGTCAGGTACCTATCGATCAAATTCAAAGACGCGACCTGTATATTAAAAGATGAGTCATTCTTGGCCATTCATCTTTTCTTGGAAAAACGAAAATAGAGCACTAGCAAGCGAGTATGTGTTCTTAGCGAAATTAAGTGCTATGGCGCGGAAGGCTTTAATGAATTAACGTCTGGAGCATAGGTGGCACTGATGAATTCGCGACATCGGGCAACCTATCACAGAGATTACAAACTGAAACGCGAAGAAAAGCAATAGAGAGAATCGCCGACTTATCTTCGGGAACTTCGTAGAAAGGCTAGACGCCTCACATGAGTCATGTCGAACTATTTTCAAAGATTATTTGAAGGCGAGCGGATCCGAAACAGATTCGAGGCTTGTCTTACATCGAGCTTCGTTAACACTAAATATAACTCGCAAGGATTCTTTGCTTCTGCAAAGCTCAAAAAGTACCTGAGCGGAAATCCCTTTCGAATGGCCATAGAAAGGGAAGGGGAACATTGACAGGGTTGGATTGAGAAATGGTTTTAGCATCTAGTAAGAACAACGGTAAACACGCACCATAGCCGACCAGCATTATTTCACGGGATTTAACGTGTACTCAATTGGTATAGAGCTAAATTCGGTAGCTGTTTGACTTTTCATGACGTGATATTTGGAACCCAAAGTGCCTCGGTGGTTTCCGTCAGACTATCATGCACAAATAGAATATATTAAATAATATTACCGATTTTTTTTTAAATAAATAAACTAAATAAGCATTACATTGTTTAGGAAATGAATCAGCTTCAGCAGCCTCATACTAAGGCCTGATAGAGACTGTACTGAAAATCACTGAGATTATTTTTGTTATGTTGCGCCAGTGTGATAGCCAACACAGCTCATTGACAAGTACTCAGTACCCGCTAAAATTCTTGTCAACGTAAACAACAATTGTTTCCAGCAGTCTATCTTGGGGCCTGACCCAGCCGCACACAATGAAGCCTTATCTTCTGGAACGATCAAATGCCGTCCATAGCTAGAACGGTAACCGCCTCACAGCGTCCACAGATTTTGCATTAGATGCTTCCGTTGTTATAATACGCGAAGAAAAGAAGTGAGGGTCAACGATGCAGGCAGTGCTTATATGGGCGTACGCCTGCAGACTTTAATTGAAGCTAATTATTGCACGACATCATAAGTTTGATCAGTAGTTTGACGTAGCTACGTTGATAATCCCAATGACAAGAAACAGCAATATTTGGAGAGTTCCTTGGCTTGGATATATATTGTCCGTAGCTTGGTGACGGGATTCGACCATCATTTGATGACTTCAAATCGCTGTTACATATATGCTGAAAATTTGCTGTGCTAGTGTAGAAACAAACGGACCCGTTTATAAAAGGCAACACAACTACGTCAACCGGCCCCATTACGTTTCATGTTTTGTCAAAACTTAGACATCCGTACACAGGAATAAGCTCAAACCCTATGTATTTACGCTCCACATATCCTTGTTCATTCTGTTTGAGGCAAATAGATCATTTGGGCGTCAATGACATTTAATCAATTATTTCACCCGCACATACTTTGAAAAGGCACACCAGTCAAAGCAGAATCATACACGAAGGTAAAAAAATCATATTCCCAATTTTTTATTTTTATCGTGATCATCATCATCATCATCGTCGTCGCTTCTATTTATTACTTCTAACCGTTTTCTGTCCCCTGGTGATCGGAAATCATGATGCAGAAAACAAAGTTTTGTGTCGTTTTCGAGCACAGGGCAAAAAAAAAACACATTTTTAATAGCTGTTCTTTTTCGCCTTTTGCTGACGTCAAAATTTACCGAACGAGCCTGAAATAGTTGCGCCGTGTACAGCAAGCATTTCATAACCAACAGTAGTGCTAGAAGGGGTAAATGAAGTCGACATTTGACCAAGAAAATAAGCCGCGAATACCACACTATTGTCAAGTATTTTGATTTAATAGCAAATGAGGGGCCTAGCTGTGGTATGAGCTGGGTGAAGCGGGAAAGCAATGAAACTTTTTACCGACCCGAACGTCTTGCCAAGTAGCGGGCAGCACGCAACTATGATAAGAGATTTCTATATAGAATTGCTACCGGTGGCAGGAATTGATGTCTTCATATCGACCTAAAGCTGGGAAAAAAATAGGTAGTTCCCTGCCCTCAAGCCAGGGATAAGCCTAAACCCTGAATTAAGCTAGATCTACATCCCAAAAAGGCAATGATTTGCGTTTGGAGGGCCTGAAACGGCCTTCTACATTGAGAAATGCCTAAGAAGAAATAAAATGGTCAACAGCTATCGAGTGAACAAGGCTAGCCAACAAAAGAGACCTAACAGACGAAGTGAGATTCTTTTCCTTCACGACAATACCAGGACCTCATATAGTAAGGCACCTTGTAAAGGCTTGAGAAGGACCATTCTATTTTCCAGACCTTGGTCCGATAGATCATTACTGCCTTTTTCCGATGATTGGCAAATAAAAATCGTAACCGTATATTTGACGGTAAAGAGGGTCTTAAAACCTGTCTAAATTAGTTCTTCAATAGTAGACGTGAAACTTTTAACTGGTAACATAGTGTTTTTTTGTCAAATAAATAAGATAAAATCAACTATGTTTCCACCTCATATTGCACCAAAAGATATCTCTTTCGTCCCTATGTACTTCTAGAAATTGGCTAGGAATAAATGCGTACATAACTAGCAACTGGGGCACGTTCGTTCAACATCTTGATTTTACCGCGGACCAGCGTAATATTTGCTTTTGCTGACATAGGTGGCAATGAGAGTTGCCGTTACAAATTAGTTCTACTTTCTGATCATTTACTGATCATTTTTACTATAACAAAACGCTCTGCAATCGTTCTGTTCAGTAGAAGATGTACCGCTTAATTGTATCACTATTTTGATAAAGTGTGCTGATCTTGTGGCTCACTAATCATTCAACAGTAATCATTGTAAATAAAATAAAAATAAAATAGTCTTGACGTTAACTGAAGCAATTTTAACTATACAATAACTTCCGAAATGACTCTCCACGTTCGTCTTTCGAGCTTACGAGGGTGCATTCCGTGTTATTTAGGAATAATAATAAAATTATCAAGCTGCTACACTGGATATGTACGGTAAACGGCGCCACAATACAGTACAAACAACTTCATTGTAATTAACTGATATTACTAAGTCGATTCGCTATTGGATTAATATTGAAAAGGCTTTCCATATTTTCCATCTGGTAATTCAGCCGCTGCTTGAAAGAGTTAGTTCCCAACATGAAACGGAATGTGCTCCAATTCCAACCTATACCGCCACGTGTCCTAAATGTTTAAAACAGGACAAACACGTTACCAACTGCGCTACTACGGGGACTATGATTAACTGGGTAGCAGCTGAAATTCTCAACACGATCTCATTTTGCAAATAATTAGCAACTAAGTACGAAAGAGTTGCTTTAACAAAGATGTTTCTACTTGTACCCACTAAACAACAAACACATTTTTATTCTCTTTCGTTTTTTTCCTTCTGTAACACATATACAGTCTGCTTGCATTTCATATACATGGCTATTCCAGACGATCTGTGAGCCATGAGCCTATATACGGAGGCATAGGGCATGTCTTATTAATATCCGTGCTCGTGTGACAAAGGGGCCTGGTGGTAGTATGTAGTCGAGGCTTCATGGACATTAGGCGGCAACTGAAGCCTTTACATAGGAGGCTATGAGAACGGTTGCCACATAGCTTAACGTGTTGAGGCTGGGAATCGTAGAGGGCTGATGCGAGGGAGCTCTTCCTGGCTCGTTGGTCGTGATGTTGGCACGAAATCCATAAGCGTCGGTGACGTATTCGACGTGCCGCTGAAAACCGTGGACGTCCTTGAATGAGTATGAACCTTTGTTGTGGTTGTGCTCGTCAGACACCTCGTGACGAGACTGTTTCGTGCTGTAGTTATCGATCGAGTCATAGCCAAACTTGTACAGTTTTAAGGGCTAATGGATCGCCTTGGCTACCGCAACGTGGCGAACATAGCCCGAACAACAGGGAGCAACCGTAGGATGCCACGGCCAATGGAGCATGAGTGTGAACATGGTAACTAGGGGCGTGCCATATAACTACTAATGGCGATGGGAGCGACTACCGCAGCCTGACCGCCGTAACCATGTGGAGGAGGTGGAACTGCGACGTATCCATGTCCTAAGCTCTGAGTGGCCTTGATGCAAGCACAACCTGCGAATCAAGCTTATATGAAACGTGTCAACGATATAAAGCGAACGCTCATGCTTTACCATAACATTGTCAAGGTGGGTATTATGACGATTTAGTATTGGAAAAACAGTGTAAAAAGTTGTTTGCTTATTGAGAGATTATTTACGATGTGCCGAACTGATGAAATACAGGCAGTATTAAGGGCTCAGCGTTTTCTAGCCGATGGCTTAAAAAAGAACTGTGAAAGATTGTGCTGTACCGATACCTTGCATTGGTTGTTCACAATAAACGCAGCGTCACGTAACGTAAGATGATGCTTAGCAGGACAAAGAAAGTCATGTTTGTCCTAGGATTTTGAAAAAAGCAGTCCTTTATCATTGAATTGATCGAGCGCTAACTATAAACACTGGAGCTGAGCACGCCAGGGCTAATGCTCTTAGAGAGTCTATACAGCAGACAGAACAAACATTGGAAGACATATCTTTTCGAACAAATATCTATTCCCTATGAACACATATCACACCGAGTGGTTAGCAGACAATCGGTGCTCGTTATTTCGCTGAAGTCTCTTTGTTTTTGGCCGGTTGCTGCAGTGGCTCGTTCGGTTCGGATTAGTTTCTTTCTTTAACAGAACAGTTAAGCCTAGTGCACTGAACACTGGACGAAGATTCGACAGGCCTCGAATCAAGCATTCATGAAGCTTTATTTTGGATTTTCACCTAGCATTCATCATTATCTCAGCTAACGTCAACGTTCATCCAGTTCCCTACGTGACCATTTTGATTGACGATTGCCTGTCATGACTAGCGCTCTGTCCAGTGACTGGCAGAGTTGGACTTGGTCTGTAGTTAATAAACGAAATTCAAATACAACACAGCGGCGTCTGAATGAAGGAACGGAACGAAAAAGCGAGTACATAACAAATCGGCTGGGCATAGTTTGCTTGCCGACAGGGCAAATTAACATTGTCATTGAAAATGGTATGTATGTATGTATGATATATAATTAGGCTGGTGATTTTTTACACAACACACGGCGTAGCTTGGTGCTACGTTGAACCGCGTGGAAAATTCGAAGCTACATTGACTTATGGTACCTGATAGATTATGATAATCCTTCAGTTGCTCTATGCGATAAACATTAGTACTTCTATATACTT